GAGAAATAGGCAGAATGTTCGAGGAATGACGTAGAATGTTCCACAAAGAGAAACGTCAAGTTGGATGAACACTGCGAACAGCGAGAGAAAGAGAATGAGCGATAAACTTCAGAATGTTCCAGAGTTGCCATAAGTGCCAGCGCAGGTATATAAGGGCACCGCCACAGCGAGGTGAGTTAGTTACGAGTTACAAGTCAGCAAGCTACAAGTAAAGTGAGCGGAGAATTGAGTTGCGAATAAGCAAGCTATAAGTTTAATTGTGTTAACAAGTAGTAAAGCGTGTAAAGTATTGTAAATTGTTTGTTGTACAATAAAGTTAATTGTACTACAATTTGGTCATCGATTGCATTTATTTAACAATCCAGAGATACGAGCCGAGAGATTTGGGAAATCCCTCAAGGTTTCAAAGATAATCGTAACATTATTAACTAGAGCACATATATTATATGCTATTTCTTTCAAAAATTAATATACTATATGAACTTTTTTTTTTTCAAATATTTCTTAAGTTTCTTTCATGAGTGCTGAAAAGCAACCATGCGCTTAAGAAATTGTGTGGTACCTAAAATTTCACATCTGGAAACTTTATCCCCATAAAGGACTTCACCACAGTTTTTTACTGGATATACTGACCCTAGAAGAATTGTGTGATGGAAACTAACACATTCTCATTTCTCTTACTAACCCATATGCAAATTTTGCGTGGGTTAAAAAGAGACCATAAAATAAGGCCATAAGTTGGAGGAAGATGGAAGAATTTGTACACAAATGTTTACATCAGATTTTTCACACTGCCCTTTAGAATTTGATAGAAAATTGTAGGTAGCCAGTGACAGAAATCTCTATCAGTCTTGCCACTCAAATGATTTGTCAAATGATAGTCACTGTTCTTGCAGGGGAGGTTGGTTATGTTGATGTGTTCTGTGTCGTTCATGTAACAGAGTGCGTAAACTTATAAGATTATCTGCTTGATAAAGTTATCGGTTTAGATGAATACCACTAATGTGTTTGTATGGCAGTCTGCACACGGGTCGTATAGCTTTAGACGGGTATTAGAAGCTACAAACGAAAGTTTAACGCTTTGATGCCGCACACGTGCATTTAACTGGAGGGCTGTATACGAGTCGTCAGCTTGACGAATTCGTCAAAGCAAGCTAGCTGCAAATCGCTTGGCGTACAGCAGTGTTGGTAGCCAGGCGTACATACGCTTAGAAAAGAGAAAGAAGAAGAAGTTTGTTTACAATTTTCTGTGTGCGTGCATGCATTTCATTAAAAAAAAAAAACGATAAAACAATAAAATTCGTGCAAATAATAGAAAAATAACTGTTAATTAATTAAAGAAATAATAATTTTGCATCAATTAACATTTTTTGCCTGATACTTTGACTCTTTGAAGTTCTCTCGTGGGCAGATCTTGGGCCGTAGAGGAATTGTTGCTGCATAAAAAATTTTATACGCGTCTAAGGCTATACGAACCGTGCTCAGACTGCCTAATAGTCCGAACACAAAGAAAACGACGAGCTACAGACCACAGCTGTCAAATTTTTTTAACACGTACTCTTATGTAAATAATTATTTTGGTGACGACCCGGCTACGCGACGGGTGTGGTTGTGGCCAGATTAGATCTATTTATATTTTTCCGGCGACAGATAAGGTTCTTCCTCTTCTTTTATGTCAAACTCATACAAACTCATGATGTTGCTGTCGCGTTCAAAAAAATCATGTCGTCATCGACAAAGCGTTAAGAGAATGAAGATAAAAAATTGGAAGCTGTGGCCCGTAGTTCGTCGTTTTCAATGTGTTCCGAACCTAAATCGTTTGAATTTCATGCGACAGTGGTGAGCCCTGGCTGGCAGGGTACTGTGTACATTCCACACAAAAGTCGATGCATCGAAAAAAAAATACATCGATATATCGATTTATATCGGAAATTCCAAAACATCGGTTTTGTTCGATACATCGAATAGCAAACATCAATGTTTCCGGTGCATCGATGTTTTTCTTGCATTCCTAGCCACTGCTAATTTGTAGTACGGATATAGAGAACGCGCACGTTGTTGTATTTATATCAAATATAGAAAAATTGTAAGTTCGTTGTTTCTGCAATTATCTTTAATAAATATCGTATTGTTTTGCTAAAATTTTTGAAAAACAAAAAAGTTATGCAACTTAGGCATTGAATTGCATTGTTGTCTTAATCGCTCTTCATTGTCGAAGTGTTACGTGCGTCAAATTTAGCGATAAATGCATGTTCCTACATTCATATATGGGCTTGGTGTTCTAGGTGTGCTGTCTTCTGCGATTGTATTTTTCCTTGGGCCGTGCAAAAAATAATGATAGATAATGATAATGATAAAGATCAGACTTTTTTGGGGTACATTACATTAGTAATCATAAAGCCTTTCATTACAGTTTTGAATCCTAAAGATTACCTATATGTGTAGATATTCATATGCATTAAGTAAGCAGCTGGAAAACGCAAAGGTTGAGCATTGCAAATCTAAGCTAATACATATGCATGTGCTATTCGAATATGGCCCCATGATATATATTTAATTTGAATCCGCTTAAGCGACTCGTATATAAATGGCATTGACGATAAATATATTATTAGAAACGAAAGCCAATGAATCAACTATTATAAGGTTGCCAAACAGTAACCTTGGTAGTATTCAAATACAGTAACAAAGCAAAACTGTAACATGGTGTAAAATTTTTTAATTCAGCCACCGCTATCTTTCCAAGTTCTAGCGACTTTCATACTTTTATTGTATATTCTTATTGGTACACTCCTACTCCCTCTCTCATAACGATTTGAAGTCAATCCAACAACAATAAACAAACCAGCAGACAAATATGTAAGTTAAGACAAATGTTACAGGGGAAAACTTTCCAATACGGGGAAAAAAACAAAAATGAGGGGGTTTAGAGCGGCTTTTTGTGATTGTAAATCTGAAAACCCCACCCTCCGGAGGGTTATACTTTTTATGAAAATTGAATTTTAAGTTGCAAAAAATGTCAACTTCGACCTCACTTTTTGCTTTGTAAACCAATTGTACTACAATGTCGGTGCTGCTACACAACAAAAAATGCCCAAAAAAAGCGCTGAAAACGAGAAACAATAAAAACATTGTAATTAACTTTTTTCTTAAATTAAATATCGATGTATTGATAGAAAAAGGGATTCAGTCTAAAATCGAGAGATTTTGTAATAAAAATGTTAACTTAGTTATTTATCCAAGTATTGATTTTTATGGGAAAAGCGGCGCAGGCGAAATTTTTAATAAAACAACGCGCGATTTTTTATTAACCATTTTCATTATTTATCGAAGTATTGATTTGTATGGAAAAAGCGCCGCTGGCGAAAATTTTTAATAGAAAATCGCGCGATTTTTTATTAAAAATTTTCATTTATCGAAGTGCTGATTTTTATGGAAAAAGCGCTGCAGGCGAAAATTTGTAATAAAAAATCGCACAATTTTTTATTAAAAATTTTCATTATTTATCCAAGTATTGATTTTTATGGAAAAAGCGCCGGAGGCGAAAATTTTTAATAAAAAATCGCTCTATTTTTTATTAAAATTTTCATTTATCAAATTATCGATTTACGTTTTCTACATTTGTGTACTTTGAACTATAATAATACCAGTAAATATTTCCCCCCGAAAGAAATTATACAGGAGTATGACCCCTATCGATCATAATATTATTATTTTTAATAAGAGCAATGTACGTATTGTATACTTATACCCCTAATTATACGCACTTATTTGTGGTGTATTTTTTTAACGTTTGGTAGCATACATTTTGTGTTAGTGTCAGCCATTGTTATTTCTGCTTGTTTGTGAAATGTGCAAACGTTTGTGAAGACATTTATAAACGCGTTTTACTTAACTAATTAATTAATAATTGTATATTAAGGTATTACAAACGCATGCGAACCTTTTAAGGATAATATATTTGTGTAAATAAAAGTGATAGGTGATAGCAGACGGGATATTTTAACAACAAATAACTTAAGTACCATTAGCAACAACATTGTGAAAGTGGTAAATATAGTTAAAGGAGACCTCCATCACTATCCCCACCGAATTTCACAAAAAAAATCACCATACTTTGCACGGAATAGCAATTGGTTCCGTAATGGAAATCTCAGCCTTTTTATACCTTTCATGAGCATGAAATGGTATTATAACTTTGGTCCGATGTTTGTAAGTACCAGAACAAAAAGATATAGACCCATTAAAATGTATACTTATATGATCAGAACGTCGAGCTGAGTTGATTTAGCCATGTCCGTCTGTCCGTCTGTTTGTATGCAATCTCTCAGTTTTCGAGATATCCGTATCAAATTTGGTAGGTGGGTGTATTTTTATATTGTATTAATCATTTGTCGGAACCGGAAGAATCGGACCACTATAACATATAGCTCCCATACAACTCATTGTTCAGATATGAGATTTTTCGTTATAACTTCTCCATTTATGCAGCTACGAACATAAAATTTTGCAGTACTTGCACCCATTATCAACAGAATACTTACAGTGAAAATTACAAAGATCGGGTCACTATAACCTATAGCCCCCATACAACTGATTGTTCAGATATAAAATTTTTCGTTATAACTCCTCCATTTATATCGCTAGGAACATGAAATTCCGCACTGTTTTAAATAATTATCAACAGAAAACTTACAGTGAAAATTAAAAAGATCGGGTAACAATAACCTATAGCTCCCATACAACTGATTGTTCAGATATGAGATTTCTCGTTATAATTCATCCATTTATGTAGCTAGGACCATGAAATTTCGCGCTCTTTTCACTCAATATCAACAGAAGACTTACAGTGAAAATAAAGATCGGGTCACTATAACCTGCAGACCCCATACAACTGATTGTTCAGATATGAGGTCTTTTATCATAACTCCTCCATTTATGCAGGTAGGAACATGAAATTTCGCACCACTTTCACTCATTATTTACAGAATACTTACAGTGAAAATAACAAGGATCGGATGACTACAACAGGGAAATGTTTAGTTATTGGCCCACCGTTTTTGGGGTGGGGGGCGGAGGGGGAGGGGGCGGGGCCCCCCAAACCCCCCTCATTCGAAAGGGGACAGTCGCCACTTTACGAAAAGAACCCCCCCCCTTGGGGACCTCCCACAGACCCCTAGGGAACCGTTTGAAAATGGGGTAAAAACGTAATTTTCCGAGGCAAACTGAGCAGTTTCAAGTGGAATATAACCCAACTAACGAAAAACGTGGGATTTTTAAATAAAAGAAATTATCCCAAGTTGGTTATCAGGCGATTTGAAAAAAAAAAATGATGGGGAAAAAAATTAACTAACAATATTGTGAAATTAAGAAAAAAGCGACAGATAGAAATGTTCGGCCGCACTTAGGGATTATAACCCTCACTACGTAGAATTCTCTTCTGTGTTGCCAAAGAAAGGGGGTTGAACACCTTTTGCATAGAACACCTTTCTGCGTAGGCGGCCTTCGGCCGCACTTAGGGATTATAACCCTCAGGCAGTAGAATTCTCTTTTCTGTGGTGCCAAAGAAAAGGGGGCGAACACCTTTTGCATAGAACACCTTTCTGCGTAGGCGGCCTTCGGCCGCACTTAGGGATTATAACCCTCAGGCAGTAGAATTCTCCTTTCTGTGGTGCCAAAGAAAAGGGGCCGAACACCTTTTGCATAGAACACCTTTCTGCGTAGGCGGCCTTCGGCCGCACTTAGGGATTATAACCCTCAGGCAGTAGAATTCTCCTTTCTGTGGTGCCAAAGAAAGGGGGCCGAACACCTTTTGCATAGAACACCTTTCTGCGTAGGCGGCCTTCGGCCGCACTTAGGGATTATAACCCTCAGCGAAAGGAGCCACGGACAGTAAATACATATTTTCCATGGAAAGGTTTATATTTTTAATGCTGACTGGGTTATATCATATTTTCTTTTGTCTCTCATCCTTCTTGTATATTTAGCAGTTTGACAGCTAAACGCCACCATTTAATGTGCATATGCAACCAAAGGCAAACGCGTGGTTTTGAAGATGTTTTTATTTAATAAATTGTGATTGATAGATTAAAATTAAAGTAATAAAGAAAGTTGTAACAAGTCGAATAAAGTTTAAAGTGAAGGGGAATATAAAAATGCATTAGTGAAGTGGCTGCTTTAAGGAAAATAGGAGTGATAAATGTGAGCTATTTTCCGAATTTTACAAAAAAGGGCATATTTCAAACCCAATTTGTAAATAAATTAGTGACCAAAAATTACAATAGTGGATGTTAAAGTAATGGGTAGACCCTTGGCTACAAGTGTGTGCAATTTTTTTTTGGATCGGGTCACCCCTTTGGACGCAATACCCCGAAATAGGTGGGCCACTTACTAAACCGTACCCCTACAACATATATCTTCCATAAATCTGATTGTTCAGATATGGAATTTTACGGTAAAACTCCTTTATCTGAACAGCTAAAACCGATAAATTTCGTAAGATATTTTATAAATAATAATACAAAGTCTACTGAGAAAATCATCAAAATCTATGCTGTATAAGCTTTATCTCCTATAGCACTGATTGTTCAGATACCAGTTTTTGCCATATATCTCCTTTATGTAGGAAACTAAACCCAATAAATTGTGTTACCGGTTTACATACCGATCACATAGCAGTGAAAATCACTTAGATTGGTGCCATATAAAGTATATCTTCCATACCTCTGATTGTTTAGATGCGATTTTTTATATAAGTATGTAACTCCTCTATCGATGTATGCAGATGTATTCAAAAGCAGTAATCTGTCAAAGTAAAATTTGCAGATGTTCATCAAAGGTATGAAGCCTTCGGCATAGCCGAAGACAGCGCTGCTCTTACTTGTTCTGTATTGTAATTTGTTCAAGAAGTGATCACCAATAAATAATATGGTTATTACGAAACATAAATGTAAATAATAGATTTACTGCGGAAAGGCGGGACCGCAGGGAAAGTGGCAAAAAATTGTGTAGCTCGCCATATGAAAATATTAAGACTGAGAAAAAATATAGCCTAAAGTGTTACTAAGGACAAAGGAAGTCTGTCAA